GCTCTGCTTAACCAGGGGAATATGCTACAGATGGACAAACCACAAATGAGAGGATATGCAGATCTGAAACCCCCTGATAATACTTCTTCTATTTCTTTCTGTCCTGCTGGGTTTAGATGATACAGTTCCTCTGAATTCAGTCTCTGACTCCTGCTCTGAGGCATAAGGCTCAGAGCCTTTGATGCAGAGCAGGATCTCTTTTTAAATCTCATGCTGCCTACCTGAGATCTGTCTCACATTTTACAGGTGGAAAAGCAGAGACAGGACCAGAGATTTATCCATGGTAATGGGAAAACTCTGGCCGATGACAGAATTCAAATCAATTCTGGCCATCCTTTTCTTGCAGATCACATGGTTTGTAATTCAAAATATAGCTGATGATGCTGTAACCATCACTCCTGTCAGTGAGCAGCACAGCTGGTTTTCAGCTTCAAAATGAAAGGAAATTGCTGCAGCTCCTCAGGGTTTTAATTAATAACTCCTATTCTGGTATCTTACTTTCCCCTTCTCATTTAAACTTTCATTATCTGCCTTAGGGACTTTCAACCTTTTCTGATTTGCAGATGCCCTTAACTCCTCCTGCTGAGGGTGTCAGTTCCATCATCACTAATTTCAGATCCCTGTAGTATCTTTGCTTTACTTCCAGTTTCTTTGACAGACTCTTAGAAGTATGCACACAACCCCATACATTTACAGATGCCTCCTCTCCTCTTCCCCATCTCCTGTTGGCTGTAGCTCTTTCTTCCAGCTTAGGACTCTGAGCTCAGATCAGCCTTGTGAGAAGGGATCACCGAGAGCTGAGGTCACCACGTGCCTGATGCCTGACTGACCACATGTACTTCACTTTTCAAGTCCAGCAGTGGCTAAATTAAAGTTATTGTCAGATTGCCTCATTTTTAATGAAAAATGCATTTTCTGATGAGCACTTGGAAAAAGAAAAGCTAATATGGAATTCAGTATAGGAAGGATTGTAGTCTTGGGAACACTTGAGTGACCAAGAGTAAGGTAGCAAACTCACTGGATTTTCTGGGGCCACCTTTCAAAAAAAACTGCTGCTCTTGGTCTCTTGGTTTGATTTTCATTTGCTGGGACACTGGAAAGGTGGTAGTGAGGCCTCATTTCCCTGGGCAGAAGGTCAAAGTCCATCATTTTCCAGTGGTGGATGTTGTTTCTCTGGCCAAAGTAAGTGGTTTGGATGAAAGTCATCCTGAGGGTCTTCGTGTGTTAAAATAAATCTCTCGTGATTGCAGTGCTGGCCTCCTGTGGAGCTTTGATTTTTATCTGTGCAGGTGGCAAACCTACATCTACTTGAAAAGGAACCAGAAAGGTATCCACACTGTTAAGAGATTATGTGAGTGTCCTCATTTGCTCATTTTAAGAGCTGCTGAGAAGTTCACTCTCCTGACTGTAGGAGTTAAAACTGCTGTAAGGAAGGAAGGGGAGGAACTAACAGCACAGTAGGAACCCAGCTAGAGTCTGTGGTGTAAGGCATACATGGAGGTCAGGTAACTGTCTCAGTGGATTAATTGTAGGGATTTGGAATTGGCTACAAACTTCCAAAACCTCAAGACCAAATGAGTACCAAAGTTCCTGCTGGCAAATGACACAGGGTCAAGCCATTGAACAGTTTCTATGTTCATGTCCCCTACACTGGTTTGTTTGTAGCAGAGTAAAAGCTTCTCCTGCTAAAGGGAAGTCAACCTTAGTCTCAGGTATTGTTAAGTCCTCATATCTGCAACATATAGAAATGTTGTTTTATGGAAATGTAACCAAGGTAAGTAAATTTTAATAAGTAAATAATTATCAAGGAGATGCTTGGCTTCTCATCCTCAGAGATGCTGCTCATAGCATCCCAAAGGGTGGTTGTTGCTCTTTGTTAAGATTTTTAACCAAGTGTTATCATTACGAGGCAGACAGGGCATTGTCTGTAATTCCCTTGATTTTTAGTGAGATTAACTGCACTGATCATTTGCTGTCCACTGTAGGAAAGTCTTAATCTGGGCCACAGGGTTTATAGCAGGTCTTCTAAATGAGTTTAGTTCAGTAGCAAGAAGGAAGCTGCTTGGAGCAGAAGACAGGACTTAGGTAGGAAAGCTGTTGGCAAACCCAGAGAAGATCAGAGAGATAAAGTCTGGAGAGGTGATTTTCATGGTAAGTTATTTGTGGGCAGGCATCTGTTGTACCAGAAGCAGGAGTGGGATGTGTTTGTTCAGCCTGACTCCAGACATGCTGGCTGAATGTATGGGAAGCTCACTTCCCAGTTTCCATATACCCTGCCTGTTTCCAAACAGATCCTCCACCCTGTGATACAGGGACATGGTAACAGGTTTTCTGTGGTCAGGGAGTTGGAGAGGGACTGTCAGGACTGTCACACTGATCCATGGATGTCCAACCTCATCCTTCTCCATGGGTGCCCAGCTTTGAGTGGTCTTTTAAAGGAGCAGCAACTTTATGTCTCACCTTCACTTTGTACAAACGTGCATGTTTCCCACTGGGATATTGCCTCATATATTGAAGAAGATGAGAAATCTTCCATATTTCCTGGGGACTTTTCATTGGGACAGGCTGTGTCCCCATGAGTTGTGTTGATGGCCTCTTTAGTGCCCCTATCTCCCCCAGCTCCCTGCCATCCAGACCCTCCCAATGGAGGCGAGACCTGCGGGTGGAAAGTGTAGTCTAGGAAAGCTTAGCCAAACTCTTCCAGCTGCAGTTTATTGTATCTATTTTGCTGATATCCACCCTTTAGATAAATAGCACTCAGTTATACATGTTGTGAGTCTCTTGATGTGGTTAAAAAGGTTTGTATTAGCCAAGCTAATCTAACTCCAAGAATAACCATGGGAATTTGACTGTATCGGTTCCAGCTTGAATCAGTCACCCTGTAGTAAAGTGAGAATTGCCTTCCTGGCTAAAAGTGTAGCAACAGTGAAACTTCAAGTCAGTTGGTGGGGATTCCCTCCCCCTCCCTTTTTTTTTTTTTTTCCCCACCTTTGAACAAAACTCCTGCCCATACCTGACCTCAGACACCCAGAGCTCTACCTACAAGAAAACAAAATTTCCCATTTTCAATAAAAAACATGTCTCTGTAGGCAGAAAAGTGAGCTAGCTAGCAACCCACAAAGCTATGGTCTATTTATTTACCAGGCTGACTCCCTGATGGGGAAACATGTGGGATCTTTTAACTACTTCTCCCGCACAGATGTTTCTTCTACTCCCGAGTTTCCTCTTGATCTTTGGTTTGCTGTGCCATATGGTGAAAACGCTGGAGATGTTCTGTGCAAGAGGAAAAGGATTCTGTGTGCTTAAAACAAAACCAGTAAAAAATAATAATAATAAAAAGAATAAATTCTGGCTGCTTTTTCCCCAAGTTAGCAAAAAAATATTTTTAAAAGGAAATCTGTCGAGCTAGCAAAACCACTGTTAACTCGCACATCCTCACTGTTGGACATAGAGCACTGATGAGATTAAATGCTGGTTGATGAGCATCCCTCCCCCCACAGCTTTTCCTGCCACTTTGGGTATTTTCTATTGACCTGTAGATCCAGTTCAGGTGAGGAGATAGGGGTTCTGCAAGGGCACATAAGATGACTTCTTCCTTTTCTTTCCTTGCCTTCCTCAGAGGCCACAGGGGCTGCAGATTGTGCGTTGAAAGACATCTCTCCTGGCATGTTGGGAAGGAGCCCCGGGGCTGGCAGGAGCTTTGGAGTTACCCCTGTCCAAGGGAGCTGGGGTTTCTGTGTAGAGAGGGGACACAGGGCATTGCATCATACATCTGACGTGTAGGGGAAGTGAAATAGAATGTCAAGATTTGGGTACTTATCTTGGTAGCACCATGTGCTAAATGCGAGCAAAAGATTGCAATGGGGGGTGCAGTTTTCAGGGCTGGAATTGGTGTCTTTTGGGCAGGTCCATGAAGGTGCCACTGGAGCAGGTGCATCTTTCCTTGCAGTCTGAGGTTGTGCCTGGCCTTTCAGCTGGTCTTCAGCCTCAGCAGCACTGGTCCATCCAGTCTCATCACCCAAAAAGATATTGTAGGGCTCATTTAGGAATGTCAGGTCAGTATGCAGCTTTTCGAGGCTTGTTTGCATAGGAGGTCACTGGTGGTCAGCAGTCTGCTCCAGCATGCCCACTGGGTAATAGCCATCAATACCCCTTTGAGCTCCTCCAGTTGAAAGCTGGTTGCAGCTCTGCAGTAAAACAGCATCCTGAGCCTGGACAGCTCTTGGGGGTGCATTAGAAACAGATGGTTGTGGTGGGCTGGATTTGGAAGGTGGTGGGGCAAGATCTTAGCTGATGTGGGTGAAATTCTGGCTCAGGTGCTCTGTAACCTTGTGCGGAAGGGTGCTTGTCGTCTGCTGAGAGCACACTCACCTTGAGCTGTGCTTTGTGGCCATTCATGGGGCTGCTGTTTTCTGGGATGCTCTGCTCTCTGAGTCCTCCCTCCCTGCTGTCTGTTCTCTGTTGCTGTCCTCCATGTAGGGACTGCAGTGGAAGATATTCCCCAAAACTCCATCTCTGTCTCCCTGGGAGAACAGGAGTGCTCTTTTGTACTGGACCAAGGCAGTGGGCAGTGTCTTGCCAGAAAGACAGAGCAGGTGTTTTATGAAGTACACTTTAATCTGGTTGCTTGAACAGCACTTTTAGCCAGGCGGGTGGTCAGGTAAAACCTGTGTCTCCACCAGCACAGGCAGTCAGTGGATAGAGACAAGGCATGTGTTTTGTAACAAAGAATGGGAGCCTAATTTTAGAACAGCAGCAAGGCCAGGCTCAGATGTCAGCCTGGGCCCTGTCCCAGCTCCTCTGTGCTGCCAGAAACTTGCCCTCCCTTTCTTGGAGCGAACTGTTTCATACCTTTTTATGTATAGGCTCCCCTGCAACAAGGCAGAGTAATTCCCGCAGTTGCTTTTGTTTTAAACCACACACAAACCATGAGTTCTCCTCGTCCGAATGCAGCCAGTCCATGTTTTCCCCCTAAGATGTTTGTTGTGCTTCCTTTGCAGATGCAGCTTCTGGACAAGTTCCCTATTGAAGGAGGCCAGAAAGACCCCAAGCAAAGAATCATTCCTTTTCTACCAGGTAATGCTGTGGGGAAAGCCCTAAACAAGATCAGTGAGAGCAGTTGGAGACTGCAGTTCCCCAGCTACTGTCTCCAGTGCTTTTCGTGACCACTCTTATAAATGCCTTTTCCCTGGGAGCTCATACATCCAGTCTTGTGATACCAGACCTCCACCTCCTCCTAAAATAACTGGCATGGTGTTTAGGGCTCCCAGGGGATCTTACATCAGCTGTTCAGATTCAGGTTGGATCATGCCCTGCCCCACAAAGGGATTTGATGTCTTCTGGGGGGCTGTGTCTGTGGGGTGCAAACTGGCAGCCCAAGCTTGGGCCACCAATTGGGAGGCCGCTGGAGACCAGAGCCAGAGTCTTTGTCATTTCTGGATTCTGTGGCTCTGCAGACACTGTTACTGTGTAACAAGGAATGAATAATTAGAGTGCCACTGGGATATAAGGGAAACTGAAGGAAGGTTAAATGCAAATAGGGATTTCTGCAGTGCTGGCCAAAAAGATATTTACTTATCTTTTTGGCCTGAGCCACTGTCCCTTTGACAGCTTTCGCAGAGGGCCTGGACGTGATGGATATCCTGTCCTAAGGGTAAGAGCACACACTTCTACACAGCCTCTTCCAGCAGCGGCTGCAGGGATAGCACGGGGAGAGGAGCCAGACCGCAGCGTGCTCTTGGAAGTGCACGCTCTGGCCAGCTCTCCATTGTCTGACTGCACGATTCTGGCTGTTGGCTAAAAGTTTGGCTTGCTGCACTGCCTGCCAGGATAAATGGAGTATTTTCAGCCTGTTTAGAGGTCTATTCTGTCTTTAGCTATAAAAAAGCTCTTCCCTTAAGGTCTGTGAAGAGAAGCTGGGATAAAAGGGCTTAGTCGTCTCCAGGAGCGTGCTGCGGTCCCCAATGCTGTGTGCAGGCAAAGCAGCTGCTCCAGATGTGTGGTGAGCACAGCTCCAGGACTAGCAGGGAAGCAGGGACTTGGAAACCAGCAGCACAAATACATGACAGAAGCATCGTAGCTGCAGTAGGGCAGAACAGCCTCCTGGCAGCCTCCATCAACCTTGTGGAAGGCAGTCCCAGGATCAGGGTTTGCTCTCTGCAGTGTTCTGTGCTGCATTCAGACCCTCTGCAGCCAGGGGGAGGGGACATTGACCTCCATTTCCAACCTGGGATGAGGAGAGTAGTCCAAGAATAGGCTCTCTTTCCAGCTGTGCCACCAATAAACTCACAGATGTTTTGAGACCTCTGTTTGATAAGAATGGATAGTGCTGGCCTGCCTTTCATGCTGGAAAGCATTTTGAGATCCTTGAAAGCACTGTACAGGAGTGCAGATGGCTTCATGCAAGGTGCTGTAGGAAAATCTCTGTCTGCAGGTAGCAGTTGTTCCTCCTGTATTGACTGCCAGTGGCCCATTTGTTATATCCTAGAAAAATGTTGGCTGGCTGCAGGTGACTGTCTGCTGCTCAGTCTTTGTGCAGCTCTTAGTGATCAGTGTCCTCATACATGTGTGTGTGATATTTGGGGAGGGTGAGATAAACCCCATATGCCCATTACAACACTTCCTACCCTTCCCACCCTCCAGGAACATGAGGGAGATGGTACTGCCACATGTCCTCGAGGGGAAGAGTTATATCTGGAAAACATTTGGGTCGACTTAGTGTCCCAAAGAGAGAAGCTGCCAGAACAGAATAGACCTCAGCTGTGTTTAATTTAAAATTTCTGTGATATATGTTCTACTTTTGATATCGAATCTCTGCCTCTTTCTTGTTGAACTGCAGAGCAGCCCTTGTTGCTTTCCCCGGGAACAAGGTGACTCAGCTAAATGTCAAACAATGTCAAACTCCGTTAAATAAACTGGCTGCCATAATTAGAACACGCATGGCATTTCTGCAGCTGGAGACGTGGGTTACGGAAACGAATACCTGCCCATAAACTCCCTGAATTAAAAAACGCCAGGGCAGATGTTTGTACTTAAATCCTACTTTATGAAGATGTTATGGTCTTGCTTGCTGATTGTGGGCCTGATTCAGCCAAGCTGGAGTGACTCTGCGTGCTGGCTTCTCAGTGCCAGGGGTTTGCCTGGTTTAGGAAGCTGACATAGGGCATCCTGTGACTCCTGCTTGTCAGCAATGCCATGGTGCTCTCCTGAAATAGTAATTAGTGTTTGTGTTGGAAACCTTTTACCTGTAAAACCAAGGAAAGTGTAATAGAGTTCAGAGCCTTGCTGCCCAAGGAGAGACCATACTGGGTTCAACAACAGGGAAGTACAGATTTTTTTTTTTTCCTCTAGACACCTTTATCTTGTTTTTATCAATTTCTTTCTTCATATGTATTTACCCTTACTTCCCTCTTACACAAGCAAGGACTCTACAGCTTTCACTGCCATGAAGAGGTGCAAGGAAATGATAAACAGTGCCAGGTAGTCCTGTAAAAGATGTCCCGTGGACAATTTTGTAGTTTTGTTTCACTTTTTGAAACTCACTTCTGTACCTTCAATTTTTATGTGATTTTTTTTTTTTTTAGCCATACTGAGAGGACAAAACTGATATTTTTGTCTCCTTTCCTCATTTTATCTTCTACCCATGAGTTTTTCCTTTCTTCTCTCTGATTTCCCTTTCTACTGTTGGAAAAGTCTGCATCAAGGGAGGCTGGGCAGAGAAAACCCCATAAAAACCCCTGTTTGTGGCATGGCCATAGAGGATTTTGATAGCTGGTGGTATGATTTTTTTTTTTTTTTTTTGGAGGGAGATTGTGGAAGAGTTAAAATAAAATTTGCTGGAAAAATCCCTTTCTAGATCAGAGGTGGTTTATCACTTTTAGGAGACATGGATGAAAAAGTGCTGTTTGACTGTACCAGTGTGGCTGTTGTTTGAGCCCATTTGCAAAGCATCAATTTCTCTGTCATCTCTCCTGCTGCATATCTGAAAAGCAATCTTTGGATTGTGGACGTGAAGTTTTGCTCCCTCCCTGTCAGATACTTTCATAGCTGCATACGCAGAGAGGAAGTGTTACGGATTTGGATTCCCCAATTCACAGATCTTGAGGTAATTAATAAAGGAATTTCATCTGGAAGGAGAAGACTTGGTCTACTGAGCTTCTGGAGAGCACAGTGACAATTCAAGTGGCAGAGACAGGGCAATACAAGTCTGAGATTAGCAGTTTTGCAGTAGTTGACCCAAGACTCCAAGGCTTGCATTGTTTTTCATTTCTCTTGGCACTAAGTGGGAGAGCCATCTGGAGGCAAAGCTGAAGTGGGAGGGATGTCAGCTTTTCTTCCTCCACTGTGTCTTCCAAAGTGCAGCCCTGGGGCAAACGCACTGCATGGCCTGAAATCATCATATCATGCTGGGCTGCAGACCCCTGCCTTGGAGAGAGGCTTGGGCTTGCCACGTCATGGAGGGCTGGGCATTGATGATGGCAGCCCCTTGCACTTCCCATCCAGATTCCAGCTTGATTCCTGCCTGGGCTTCAAAGCAATTTTGACTCCCAGTGGAAGAACAGGAGTTTTTTGCATAGGATGTGCTGGAAGGAGAAAATCCTTGCTGAGTGCTTGCTCTGCAGTTTCCCTGCTGCCTGGAGAGGGAGACATCTTGCTCGAGGATACTGCTTTGTGTGCCTGGTTTTCCTTACCCTTGGGAAGCTGAGTCCTATCCAGGGGGACCAGAGTGGTCGGTGCAGGCTACCCTACCAACCTGGTCAGGCAGCTGCAGGAGCAACATCCCAGTTGTTGTTCCTGCCTCCAGTGCTTGGGAGTCTCTGCCACAGAGGCACCTTCTCTATTCCTTGCTTTCCCACTCAGGTTTTCCTCCTCCGCTTGATTAGGGCAAGGAAAGAGGAAACTGTCTGGTTTGGGACATATGCTGCCAACAGAGCTTGGTGGCTGCATGCCAGGGCATTGGAAGGGATGCCAGCATGGTGGATGTCATCCAGCCACTGCCTGGCCCCGCTGTGCCCCAATGACCTGCTTTCCGACCTGCTTTCCCCCTGAGAAGAGAAACACTTTGGCACCATCTTAGAGGGGTCTCTGGGACTTTCTCTGTCCTTGGCCCTGAGGCAAGAGGAGCACACAGTGTGCCTGCTGAGGTGGTTTAAGGACAGGCAGCAAATACAGGGCAGCAGAGATCCCTGCAGGTAGTGCAGGTTCAGCCCTGTTTTGTGCTCCAGAGCTGCGTCGCCTTGCTCCTGCCAGCAGCAGTGGGTGGGAGTGGGGTGAGCTGATCCCCGCTGGGAGAGCTTTGCCTGACTGCTTAATCCCTGGGCAAGGCTCCCGGTTTCCCAGAGAAGCCCCAGTCTCTCCCAGCCTGAAGTTTGCTGGGGGCTGTTCCTGCAGCAAAGCGGGAGCTGGGGGAGCGAGCGCCAGCCGAGCCCGGTGCCATGTGTGAGTCAGGAGGGCTGCGGGAAGGGAGAGGTTCAGTCGGAGAGGGCGCGGGCAGCCAACCCAGCACCGCCCAGATACCTGGGGCAGGTGAGGGGTGCTGGCAGGCGGGAGCCTCCCCATTTTGCACAATGCAGGAGGATGGGGAATAACCTCTCGCCAATGCCGACTGGGACTTTCTTCGCCTCTGTTTCTGCCACTCGTGGGCTGCAGTGGGGAAGGAGATCTGCCGATGAACTGCATCCCAGGTGCTTATGTCTGCTTTTTGGTTTTGGTTTGGTGTGTTGGGTTGGGTTTTTTTTCCCCTCCCCTTTCCCATGCTGTGTTTTGGGCAAGAGGAAGCTGGGGAAAAAGGCTTCAGTAGGTTGGCAACAGCAGGATTTTGTCCATGGTGATGAGAGCATGGTTTTTTTCCTCCCATTTGTGTATATTCCAACTTTGCTCCTATTGTTTTGCTCTGAGCTGGAGGAGAAACTGTTTTGTTCAGAGGTCGTGTGCTGAAGCAGAGATAATGGGTTGATCCTAACACAGCCAGCACTGCTGGACCTTCAGGTCCAGCCATTCATGTTCCACCTGTGTAAACTGAAACCAGGATCAGCAAAATTAGGATGTGGACGTGTGTAATTTTGTCAAAGGTGCTG